AAAACCCACCGGCAACGTGCAATTACGAAATTTTGTGTGTGACATGTGTGTGTGTTTTGTGCGTGCGCTTTTATTTTGGCTGCGCTTCCATGTGTGCGTCTATAAATAACAGCAATAACAACAAGAACAGCAACAACAAAAGGCAAAAAGCCGACGAAGCGAAAAAGTTAAAAATGAAATATCAACAGCATAAAATGACGGGTTGATTGACTTGCAGGAATTTTGAGAAAACGAAAATTTCCACAAATCCCATTGTACAGATTATCGCAAAACCAGAAGAAACAGCTTCCGTTGTTTATCGGTAAAAAACGCCAACAAATCGCTAGTGAAACGCAGTTAAATCGCCAAACAGTCGCGCCCTCTGTAAGTTGCACATTCAATATTACAAAATTACATGGAAACATATTAGATTACTTTTGGTTAAATATTGTTAGCATCTTTAAAGAAACTTTATTTTCTTAGGACTTTCTTTAAAATATTTTCATACAACTTCTTATTATTCTTATTAATATTTCTGGGAAGTTCAAAAATAAAGCGAAGGCGTTTGCTGTTCCACAAAATGTTCATAAATGGAATTTTGTAGTTCACGAACAAAATGTCGAAGAAATTAGTCATTTCCTCATTTACAATTTCGTAGGCATAATAAATGTTCAAGACTTTTGAGTTTTAATAATATCTACACTTTGTAATTAAAGCAATGTTTAAACTTTACCTTCTGAACTTTGAACGCCTAGATATTACTATTTTAGTAACTGTTTCTTTGTTTAAAAACACTTTTTTTTAAAGAATTGAGTGATATTTTTTTTAAAGAAAACTATTAACACGTTTGTTAACAAACCAAATTGTTTCTGTGCACTTCAGATTCTGTGTTTGTGTGTGACTGAGTGAACATAAAGGGGCAATTCTGCAGAGTCATAAACTCCGAAACTGTATACATTTTTGGGGATTTTTTCGGCTTTTCGGCCCATACACACGTCAATGCAACGCCTATAAAAATTCACATAAAAGTCAAGTCAATCAATGAAAGGGCAGCCGAATAAATTACCCACAAAAGAGTAAAACAACAAGTAATTTAAACGTTAAACAGAGACGGCGAAGGCGCCATGAGTTATCACCTCCCATGCGGAGGAAAGACTTCAATTTATCCAAGCAACAATTAGTTTATTAAAAGCGAATTAGTTTTCCCAAAAAACTAAACAGACGACACCCACATAGTCTGAAAACAACGAGCCCCAGTGGAGCCGCAAGTGCGGAATTTTGGCAATTCCGGGAAGCATACATATGTTCCATCCGCATGACCCGCCGCCTGCGTTCTTTCTCTCTTGGCCAAACAATTTGATTTGCGTATTCCCACATGTTTTTCCATTATACATTTTCAATTTCCATTTCACTTGATTGAAGTTTTGGCCTTTGCACATGTTTTTGTTTACGCCTTAAACAGAACACCGACACACGCGCATATTTATTTAGATTCAGGCAATCGAATTGTTATTCCTGGAGGCAACTAAAAATTGGCCAAAATAGATAGCAACAATAAACAATTTGATTAGCCAGATAAAAATAAAAAGGTAAAAAAGTTTTGTCAGAAGTGGGATTCGAACCCACGCCTACAGAGTAGACTGCGACCTGAACGCAGCGCCTTAGACCACTCGGCCATCCTGACTATGAAAGTAACGAGAACTAGAAGATGTCCTCAGGGAATTTTAATTATTTTTATCGTTAAATTTAATTATACAAATTAGAAAGTACTATTCTTTTTGATAAGATTAAACATAAGTAAAAACAAGACAAATAATCTCCACTGGACTATCTTCAATTTGTACCTTGTTTATTTTCTAAATTATCTCAAGGCCTTAAATGGATGTAATTAATTAAATAAATTTAAAAAAACGACAAAAAATCTTGTCAGAAGTGGGATTCGAACCCACGCCTACAGAGTAGACTGCGACCTGAACGCAGCGCCTTAGACCACTCGGCCATCCTGACATATGGGATGAGCATACCAAATGCGCGTTTTCCACATCGTTCACTTGGCTTTGCTATAAAAAGTTGTTTGTAGAAAACTGCTATAACATAACTCAGACCAGTGTCCGAGTTTTTATGCAAATTAACTTACTTTCTTACAATAAATTGAACGTGGTGACTTGGAAATATATAAATTGTTCGTTTGTATTCGCGGCTAATTGTTGTAGACGTTAATTTGATGGCCTTACAAAACAAATTGTGAGTTAAGTAACAAGAACTGTGCAGTATTATGACGAAATAATTGCAAATTAAATCGATTCGATCAACTGCTTTGCGGCTGCACTTTGTACAAATGCCGCCATACTGTTTACAAAGTCGTTTTCATACAGATATATCTTATCTCTGGGTTTCTGGGTTGGGCTGGCGTTAAAATCGCAGACAATCGCTGCCAGCGAACAAAAGAAAACAAGGCCTTTCAGAATATATATATATCTCTGCGGATTTCCCAAAAAGCGTAACTGGAAAAGAGGTCAAGACCCGCAGCATTCTTCGATTCGAGCCAAAAACAAACTGGCTAATAATAATCCGGTTCAAGGGGGCGTGGCGCCCGCCTTGGGAACGGAACACAGTAAAAAAAAAAAACCGAACCCTTCTCATTAAGCGGCGGCCGTCTTTTGTTGTATTTTAATACTTTGTATTATTTATTACGACTGCTCGAAGCTTCTCGTCGCGAGAGTCCGCGTTTTCGTTGGGGAAATGGATATTTTAATGAGTTTGGCCAGCACTCGACGACATTTGTCCGCCGCTCACTACTCATTGTGGGATATTTAAATTAGATTTTGACACTGCTCGGAAAGATACATTTGCAGCCGAAGAATAGACGGGCATTGTTTATGCTTTTCCTTTGACTAGATGCCGACATCTTCATACGCATATAGTACAGAAAGATATGGCCATAGACATATGTCTGAGTTTGCAAATGGACGTAATTTGCATTTGCGCATTTTTCCGCTAATTATTTGTTTATCGCAGGAAAACAACCAAATCAAATCGAAAAATTTCGAAATCAAATCGAAAAATGTTTTGACAAGCGGCGGGAAATTATTTTTGCCATTGAACTTGTTGCCTTTCCCTGGCTGATATAGTTAAAATAAACAAATTATAGTGCAGTCGAAGTGCTGAAGCGGAAAAAAGGGGGAAGCAGACCCAGCAACCCAGTTTAATTCCAAGGCAAGTCTCGCTTGATAAGTTATACTCATTTATAATCATCGAAATGGGTCAGCAGCACTGCTCAAGTCGAGCAACAATTGCGCACGCAATTTTTATTCATTTAGAATGCATCAAAAATCCATTAAACCGCGGAAAAATTATACACTCAGATATGACAGCATTGAAGAAAGGTGGGGGAATGGTAATATAAAACTGACACCATTTAATAAGCAAACTGAAGTAAAGTGTGGATTTCCCTTTGCCTTATTTGTTTACAAACAAAGCAAGTCGAAGCTGACACAGTTGGATTGCATTTTGATTTTTGCATTTCCAGGGCAGGGGCTCAATGCCATTTGGCTGGGTCAGTTCTATAGTTACTACACATATGTAAAAACCGTAAGCGAATGCAGAGATATCGCGAAACCCACTGCGTCAACAAATTCGGAACGGGAATCAGATCCATTTGTCGTACAAGGTCTGGACGGGTTAGTTATCAGCGGTGTTTCGAGTGTTTAATTGGGATAGGAGGGGCTTCCGCTGGCCATAAACCTGTACCTGCCTCTGTTCCATTAATGCCCGAACAAACCATTTCCTCACGGTCAAACGTTTGATGAATGACTTTGCAGCGCAGTTATGTTGAGGCCGTGATAAGCCATTTTGCGGCGGGCCTAATGCACTTTAATGCCCCCTTCGATTACCCAATATCATGTGAAAGAAGTACAATACACCAACAAAATAGTTGCTTGAGTTTTTTTTTTGAAGACCAATTGTCAGCATGGCGTGAGAAATTACTTTGTGATTCGAGGGGATTTTGCACCCCACCCATCGATAAAACACAATAAAAGCTAACAATAACAAAAACAAAAATATATGTACTTCAATGAAGAAAAAATAAACAAATTCTGGAGGCATCCGAACCCACGTCTATGCCAATATTTCCGCTTTAAATTTTCCAAATCTTTGTGCTAAAATTGGTCTATTAATTATAAACTAAATTATTGTTGGGGTTTTTCGTTAAAATAAAAAAAAGTAGTGTCAGAAGTGGGATTCGAACCCACGCCTACAGAGTAGACTGCGACCTGAACGCAGCGCCTTAGACCACTCGGCCATCCTGACGGTTAAAGTAGCGAGAAGAAATTTTTTTGATTTGAGGTTAAATATTTCAAAAGAATTTTTAATTTACTTAAATAAAGCTTGTTAAAAAGGATAATGAAATATTTTTTCTAAGCAAATTTATATTTTTATGATCCGCGGGGAGTGAAATATTTTAAGAATTCTTAAATTGTTATTAAGTGGTTCATCTAAAACAAAAAAAAATTTTGTCAGAAGTGGGATTCGAACCCACGCCTACAGAGTAGACTGCGACCTGAACGCAGCGCCTTAGACCACTCGGCCATCCTGACTATAAAAGTAGCGAGAACCAGAAAGTCTTCAGGGGAATCTTAATTTATTTGAAAATTTCTAAAAATTAGTAGGTACCTTATTAATTATATAAAAAAGTGGTAAAGTATAATAAAAAACATTTATCTAAAAATACAAAGGATTTGTTTTAGGGTTTCATAACGTTTTTCTATCAAAATTTTTTATTAATTTTAAGTTTTATTAATCATAATATTATAAAATAGGAACTTATCTTACCATATAAAGTAAAAATTATATAAAAAGTCTTGTCAGAAGTGGGATTCGAACCCACGCCTACAGAGTAGACTGCGACCTGAACGCAGCGCCTTAGACCACTCGGCCATCCTGACTCGCATAATCGCAGTGGCAAAATGTTTCGTGCAGCAAAGGTTTCTCAAAAAATCAAAAAACAAATCAAAACCAAATTTGTGTTCGCCCACGAACTTTATACTGTGCGAATAATTCTTATTTTTAGTTCGATGGCCTGCACTAGCGGTCGTAAATGATGAATAATGCCCTCAAAAGTTGAAAGATCAATTTTCGAGTCACCCTTTGCTCCTTGAATCCATTTATGTGGCTGCAGATTATCATCTCAAAATTATCCAAACACTCCAAGGTACAAAGGTGCAGAATTATAGGAGATTTTCCAGCCAGAAGTAATAGGGATAATTTATAGTAATCATTTACAAATTGTTTCAGATAGTTGAGATTCTTTCGGTCAGCAATTGTTTCATATTTGTTGAAGAGTCCTTGTATGTTCTCAGCAGAAATGGAGGTATTTAAGATCTCAAAACAGGCATTTTGGGCATAAGGATTATGTAAACTCGAGTATCTCCAGTATCCAAAATCAGCAATAAATAAAAAATCACTGCAGATGCTCTGCTCCATTTCCGATAGAATGTTGACGACATTATGATTGATCGAATTGTTTTGAAGTAGGACAAATTTCACACTGAAATTCTTTAGTTTGGGTATCTCTGTTTTAACTAAATTGTTCAAAATATCACAAATAAATTGCTCTTTAGCTGGAACTTTTGCATTTTCCAAAACTCCGGCGTATAAAACTAAATGGAAATTTTCAAAAACGCCACACAGACTAAAAATCAGGGCACTATACTGGATATGTAAGGATATTATCTGGAATGTCAGAAAGCATGGTTTCTTCCAAGTTTCGTTTGGATATTTTTCGAGAATCTCCTTTGTGAACTTTATGTATTTATTATCTTGCAATTTGGGAGAGAGAGGCCTCTCGAAGATTTCCTTACACTTTTTCTGATCCTCTTCGGTTAACTCGTTAAAGGATTTAAGGGTATTAATAAGTAGGTTGTCTTCCATTTTGTAACAATATTTTTGGGCCTTGTTTTTTACCGAGATAATAAAAACGATTAATTGCATCGAATTTAATCAATATCAAGTACGAGTATTATTTGCCAGGGCTGGAGTTTAGTTTAAAAAAAATGCCAAAATCATTTATCATTGCCCAGATATTGACACGCCCCGTCAATATAAATAATTGCTAATTGCTGGCCATGATTAATGTCTGGCATCTTTGGCCGTTTGGAGAGCTACGGCTCCAAAACATTCGACTCGCACAATTTGCATAATTGCAATTTATTGTAAATCCGTGTGCAAATATGCAAGAAATTTCCAGCTCTTTAAGGCAAACCAGAGGCCAACGGCTTTTCACGATTCGCATTTTGGATTTGTTTAATCTGTCTGTCTGTTGGTTTTCCAGTATCTCCCTGTCATATGCAAATCGCTCTGCGACTCCGACTTTAGAGTTTAAATCCTACTAATTGTTGACAACCCCTGAGAACGTCGAACGAAACTCTTTATTATTTCGTGGCAATCGTTTGGCAATCAATCAGTGTGTGCACTCCATCTGACATTGTTGCTAATTAGTTGTCAGCCAGGCTTTACACTGCAATTGCCGATGAAATTGTCCATGTGGGTTAACGATTCACTAATTGATAAATTGCCAATAAATTGCCGGGCCGAATGTGTGCTTCACGGGTTCTAGTTTAGTGGCTTAAAGTTCGTTGATATGCGACCTATTAAGAGAGTAAGAGAAGTGGCTTATATGTTCCCGCTTTGGCAAGAGAAACAATTTTCTTTAAATATGCACCTAAAATCGGAAAGGAAAATTGAAGGTATATAACAAATATATAGCTGTCATATTTGTTTTATCTCTTCAATTAAAATAGGATTTATTTTTTATAAGGAAGCAATTTATCGTTGTATCAATGTCTAACACTTTTGGTTCATAATGCAATCTACAAGATCTATCTTCTTTCATTTATGCTAAGTTAAGATCTTTTTTCCTCAATTTATTCTGACTATGTTCTCATGTTCTCTTTGACGAGTTCAAGGGCAATCTCAATTCCGACGATCTTTCAACCCACATTATTCTAGACAAATAAAGACAACAGTCTAAGATTCATTCACGTTTCCAAGTAATTTAACTAAAACGAATTTCGCTATATACTGATGACCATATGTGTGTATTGTATTTATTACAGATTAACCCGAGAATTAAATGGCGTGTGGCTTTTATGGTCGCTGGTCCCACGCAAAGTCACGAAAATTGGACGGAGATTTCTCATTGTCGGAGATTTCACATTTTGCCCGGCGACCACGTAGCAATTCTCAAGTTCACCAGTGGAAAATTGAAATGCTTTGTTTAACCGATATTCAGTGAAAAAAAGTGTGGGAAACAGCAGGTACTAGAAATATACAACTTTTCGCTTTAATCAACTCCTTGTTGTGGATTAGTTTGATTACAACAAAATATTTCTGGCTAATATGAAAAATTAAACGAACGAGAAAATACATTTATGGTATTGACTGCAACAAGTGGGTCAAAACAAAAAGAGAAGAAGAAAACCAACATTGGCACGTTTCAAGAAATTGCAATATCAACAACTACAACAATTGTAACTCAATTTATAATACTGCTTAGCGTTTTTACTTTGTTTGCTCACGCTTGTGCATATATAATTATGCAATCGCTGCAGTTCCCCTGAATGCACAATCGCAACAACAATACCAGCAATTCATTGATAAAAAGCGTTGACAACAAGGGCTATAAATTAAACAAGTGCCTGAAGAGGTGCATATACAAACAGAAACGTTCAACAATCCGGAAATTCAATAACAAATAAAGTGAGATAATAAGTTACATGTTTAACAACGAAAATAAATTACGTGTTTTAAAAGCAACCTAATAAAACCAAACTTATGACTAAAACTTTTATAATTTTTACAAAACACAACAAATTTTTAACTCTACATTGGACAAAAGAACAATAAATAAATTTATAAATAAAAAAGTTTAACCGCACATTTTAGGGATTCATTGTAACAATTAATTTATCAATTTAAAAAACTATGTTTCGTCAAAAATTTATAAAACTCAATATCAACAATAAATTGCAGCAACAATTCCGACAGAAACTATAAGGGAAAATAAAAAAAACGAAAAAATAAACAAAACAAGTGTTTGAAAAAGTGTCAATCACAAAAGCAGAGCAAATAAAAAAAACTAGAAAAACAAAAAACTTTAGTAGCAAATAATCAGAGAGAATTAACAGCAGAGAGTAACATCAGCTGTTAAGTTAACAGTGATAGTGGGTGGATCAACAACAGTGATAAGAAAACAGAGGTTTAACAGCTTGCCACAACAGAGAGAGTAACAGCGAAGAATGAACTCACCACAGCTGGTGCACACAGCTGCGCAAGCTCACCACGCTGAGAGCGCTGGGCAAACGTCGCTGCCTCTGCCGCAGTCACAGTCGCTGTCGCATTCGGCGCAGACTGCGCAGCCTGGAAATAAATACGCGCCTGGAAGAAGACTAGCTGCGCGACAAACTCTTCGATTGGCAATACCGAAATCGCAGGGCGACCCGCTGAACCACCCACCGAGTGTGGGCCTTTTCCGGCCCTCCCCCTCGCAACTGCCACCCGCACCGATTTTAAAGCGCGCTCCAGCGGTCAACAGTGGCAGCAGTGGAATACCGAAGTCGGCCTCCCCATTGGAATCTCATCACCTGCCCAATGTCACGCCCAGCACCGCCCACACCCGTTTGGGCTATGGAATTCAGAGTGCGGGTGGAGGAAGTGGCTGTTCCAGCGCCTCCTCAGCATCCAATTTTCTGGGGGTTCGTAAACCCAGCCTGACCTTGAACTCATCGGACATCAGGAACAACAACGACCTGTTCGCCTTTCCCAAGGACATGTCGCCTGTGTTGAGTGGTGAGTGCTTAAAGATAATACAGTAACAAATCTTATTTCGAACTTTTCTTATTAATTTAGTTTTAACAAAATATATATTTTTTTTACAATTTTAAATTTAATTTGATGTTCATAATTTTATATGTATCCTCAACAGAACATTCCCATTCGCCCATGTTCACGGACTTATCATCAGCTAATAGCAATGGCTCACCAACACATCATCACCAGCTAAACAGATTATTTAGCCTGAGCCCTTCGAGCATCAGGAGTTATGGAAATGTAAGTACATCCATACATTTTCAAATTAGTTATAGAGGTTAAGAGTGTAAGTAATTGGGAGGGTAATTTATTGTTATAACAAAGAAGATTATTCATAAATATACAGGGTATTCGGTGCGCCTATACGTCCGATTTAATTTCACTGCCTTATACTTTATTCGGTCTTTTGCCTTTATAAATTCTCACTCGTAATAATTGCCGATGGCTATTTATAAATAAGCAGAGCGAGCAAAGGTCATGACTCACTTGGAGCTCTTCTCTGGCTTTATGGTGCCCATAAACTCTCACTCAAGCTTTTGTTATCCCTCATTCGTTACCTTTTACAACCCCATGTGCCACTTTTTAGGCTCATTTTGATTATAGTTTTGCTTACACTTAAAATAAATCAACCGACGGTGATATAAATGAAAATAAACCTTAGTTTATTCATATCCGATCATTGATTGCTTTTACCAGTTGAGAATTATAAACAATTTTTTTTTATATTTTACTGTTTTAGGTAGAAACCACAAGTTTATTTGAATTAACGTGTGATACAGTTTTTATAAAATAAAATATCTTATTTATTGAATAATAACTAGGAACGATTTTTGTGGTGTTAAAATCATTTTTGTAGTGCTCTGTTCAGGCCAAATGCAGAACACGCTGAGCTTTACAGTGCCATATTTAAGCAAAAACATAACTCACACCTCACACGCGACCCTTTCTGGATTGGGATTGGAACTCTTGGGGATTGGGGACTGAGCCACTCCCTGACTTGGCGACGCTACTTTCCCAAAACCGGCTCCGAGCGAGAACAACTCTCTCCCTCTCTGTTGCTCACTTTACGTAAATAGGTAGAAAATAGCGTCAACTTAATTAATAAATAACATTTAGCACGTTTTCAAAACAGAATTAGAAAGGGGGAGGGGAGGGGAGGGTCGGAGAAAGAGGAATGAATCGAGGCAAACGAGCCCGCACAGTATATAGCGCTAAAACCACACTATTGGATGGATGGATATACCGGGTATGAATAATCGCCATTTGGCGTTGATTTTTAGCATGGCTCGTGCGTCGTTAGGCAAATTTCTCGTTTGCGAATGCCCTTCCACGGGTATATCGATCATCTCAATGGGTTTGTTTCTTCATATATTTATAGTGTAATCCCCCTTAAGGTGACGAACTGATTAATTCGATTAATCGTAGTTGTAATCAAGAGGAACAAAAACTATTTGTGTTTACTGATCGTATGATTAGATGAGCCAACAACCTTTTAATTAAGAATATAACCGATGACCCATATATTGGAGGGCATTATACTTTGGCTGATAAGATGGCGACTTATACATATGCTATGATAGAAATTATTATTATTTGATCTATAGGTTACCTGCTGGTCTGTGGGAAAACATTTCAAAATTTATCAGTCTAATGAAGTTGGATTGTAGAACTTATAGTAATAAATTTCATTTATCAATGAACTGATAAATCCAGATTTTAATTTCAATGGACTTTTCTTATCTTTCTTGTAATAAATCGATTTGTGTTTATAAACTCACTGGGTGACTGAAAATTCTATAGGTCATTTAAAAATGTGTGTTCCGCGATCTTTTTGGTAAATTGGTTATACTTTAATTAAAAAACTTTAAATTTCCAATTCTTTATTTTAAATTGAAAATCCCAAGAGCAAGCATACTGCAGACAGCTTTTTTTACACATTTTGATTACTGATCGAAAGATCAATTAAATACGGTTTTCTGTACTCTAAAAAAATTGAACAAATCAAATAAAATCGATTTACTATTCCACCATTGTTCTTCACATTATTTTACGTCCAAATTATT